TGAAATGTGTTCCATTTACCGCCGAACCGGAAATTCCGGAAATTAATTTTTGACTAAATGGAAAGCGCCTGTAGTTTTGTCTGTGGCAAAGGCTAATTATTATTTTTTTATTTTTTTGTTATCGTCAAAATTAAAATCTACCGCACTTACCATTGTCATACCAGTACTCTTATTGATTACAGACACAGCAGCATGGATCCAGATGATGAGGATTCTTTTTATGATTAAAGTAAGAGTGCTCAAAGTGGAACACTGAAATCCGCTTACACTTGCTGTATTTCCAATATTATTAATTAGAAACACTGCTATTCCTCGTGGTCTTTGCGTCAGAAACCATAACTTAAAATAAATAACATAACCTACTCCTCTCATTATCGTGTGCGCATACACTTTCAATCAATTACTTTCAAATAAACATACATTTAGACGTAAGTCTCATACTCTGACAAAAAAAAATGTTAGCAGTCATTCAATACATCGATTACACACATACCAAGACATCTCGGAAAACAATATTTTGATGAGCCGTCCAATCTACAGCTTCCCCTTCTTCAGGAACAATTCGTATCACTAGAGAAGGAGAAAAGGACATAAGGCGATAAAATCATTTCCCTTCACTAAAGCAGACTAAAGGAACCTTCCAGCTTGTTCCTTCTTTTGCAAAAAGTTCACGGCGTTCTGGTTGAACGAGCGTGACCGCGAGAGACTAGACTCGTTTCAGGCTCCAGTCCCAGCTGTTGCGTGTTGCCTTAACTGTTAGATGGTCGTTGTGTTTAGTTAGCGTTATTGAATCGGTAAGTTTGTTTTGTTTTTTCGCATTTTGAACGAGAAAAATTCGTTTAATACCTTCCTAAATTGTGTAACAGAAATAAGTGGAGTTTCTGTGGAGAGTCTTTATGTTCTATGGAAAATTGTCTGTTGTTTAATATGGCCAATATCACATAAGCTTACTCCTTACGTAAGATACGGCGCTCGTGTAAACGGAAGCGTTAAATGCAAGACAAGAAACCTTTTTCTCATCACTACCAATCGCTAGTTCCGAATAATGTATTTAGGGAAGTTTTGGGTGAAACTATGCTGGTCTAGTCCAATCTTACATGGAGGTTTTATGGGTGCAGTGAGCCTGTGTGACCTGTGTGTGATCGACCCCTCCCGGGGGTACTCCCATTTATGGGCTAGATAAGTATGTGCCGCGCGTTTGAGGTTCTCCGTCCGTGTAAAATAAGGTATCATTTTTGCCCTTGTTAGCATCGTGTTTCTGATATGATTCTTTGATAGGGTATCTAGGGTTGAGGACTTATCACGGTTTTCGACACCATCTTGGCAAGCAGGCAAATGCATGAGAAATTACAGTGTTTGTATGCGAATCTAATGTTGAATAATTTCCATTATTATACATTCAACTCACTATCTCTTTTCTGATTGGCCAAAAGTGTACATTGAATTTTCAAAATCAGTGCTTGGACGTCATTTAGCTGCAGATTATACAATAATCATGTCAAGGACACTCAAGGTCACGGGTAATCATGTCGTGTATGACCATGGTGCATGATTTTTAAGGGTAATCATGCCAAGTTTGCACGCTTTGTGTTGCTTGCCGTCAGTGAAGAAGCAAAAACATGACTTCCAAGTTTGCTTTGTTGACCGAGCAAGACATGGAAAAAATAGTTGAAAACAAGGACTCACAAAACACAAAAAGGTTGACAAAGGTGGCAAAGGAGCTGTTCGCTGATTACGTGAAAGAGAAAAAACTGAGAGGTATTTTCACACGATTAGAAATAAATTATCAGTTTCTCTTACTGTTGTTACCAATTTTTTTTATTCAATGCATTATAAAACAATAATTTTTTATTACATGTCTCGGTAAGGATTATCAGCCTTCAGCTTCGGCCGATAACCCCTACCTCCACCTTAATTATTCTGGATATCACAAAAACATCATCCAATAACTGTTTATAAAATGGCTGTTCTGAAAAAATGTGAACTGTAAACTAAAGCTACACTGCAAAGGATTTTACTATCAAATTTTGAGGGGCTTTACTGTACTTAAAATTACTCCAGATGCTTGCTTTAGATTTTCCATATAATTATTTGTCTGCAATTTTTCCCAGGAAATTTTTACATGCAAATGTGTACAAAATTTTAAAAAGTGTTTTTAGCGCATGTACCTGCATATGACGACCTCAAATTTTTTCATTCGACATTAGATTCTCATACAAACACCGTAATTTCTCATGCGCTTGCCTACTCGTCAAAACCGTGATAAGGCCTATTGTTATTACATCAGCTACAATTCAAGTGTGTGTGCATTAATATCCAGTAACAAGAGAAACAAATCACAAGTTAAAACTCAACTTTACTTTATAGTATTGGGAAAACGATTTAAGTAAGATTTGCATGTTTGCTTAAAAATTTTTAGTTTTTGTTGCCCTTAAACTGGGTCTCATCCTTCAGGTGTGGTCCTTGAGCAGGGTATCAGTTTTTGCATGTTTCATCCTTAAAGTGTCAGGGTTTGAGACTCTGGGTGCCTATCCAAAATTTATGGGTGTACCCCCAGGGGTGTGACCCACCTGAATGTTTTACATCACCCCCACCACTCCCCTGTCATAGATGCGATTTTCTGAAGGATCGCTTGTGAGATTTTCTGAGTGGGGTACAACCAAATGCTAGCCAAAACTTAATATAAAATGCAGTTAAATAATCATTGAACTGATTAATTGTCTAGATAAACTGAACTATGCCTCAACACACATGGTTAGTGATTGGTGGATCAGTTATACTTCCAAACATTGGTGGATTTCTTGGAGGTTTTATCACTAGATCCCAGATTAAAGACTGGTTTGACAAAGGTATTTATAACACTATAAATGAACAGTTCTTATACTAGGCAGTTTGTTGTACATGTAACTCAAACTTAAGGAGCTGTGTCACAGAATTCAAAATTCAAACGGAGGGAAATGCAAACTCAATTGGGTGAAACATAAAACTAACCACCCAAAACATGAAAAGAAGGTATAAATAACACAACAAATACAAAAGGAGGAACAGGTGGACAAACTTGAAGAAGACTGTTAAGATTGCAGTTGTGGCTTTTGAAAACTTGTCAGCCTATTACAGTCAACTCTCGCCTTGCAGACACCCCACTATAACGGACACCCCGATAATACAGACAGCAGTTAAATCCCTGGCCGAAACAAATAACAGACGTTTGACTGAATAAGCTCTCGTTATTACGAACTCTCGCTAATGAGGACACTAACTCAAGCTCCCTACAGTGTCCGCTATCAAGATAGTTGACTGTAACCGGTTTGATATAGTGCTTGGGAAAAATGTCTTTGACACAAAGCTGTAATTTTGCCATTGACAAGTTATTTCTCAAGTTCCATAGCTAATTTTAGGATGTGTATGCCTAATTGGCATTTGTCAAATCAGTGAATAGCAATTTTTGCATGTTTTGATTGGCCCCATAACCCAGAATATCCTTGGCTATTCACTGTTTTGTGTCAGGAGCCAAGATGGCGTCTCGTCTTGAGACATTTTCAAAAGACAAAATTAATTATGTGTGATGAATGAAGCAGTCATACAAACAAATATCAAGAAAGCGACGAACTTTGGCTTGTGATTGTTTACTGGTAGGTAGAAAATTATTTTCATGCTGAATGAAATGTTTGTAAATTGTAAACAAACAAACGCGAGGTTTTAATTTTCAAAGAGTTCCTTTTTTCCCAACTAATTTGGTAAATACTCAAACAACTATCCCCCTCAAGGTCGGTGGACAGCGCTAGATATATACTTTGTCCTTTCGACTGTCGGTATCACCACCATTTACTTGTACCTCCTCTTTGGGGGATAGTTGTATATTATTAACAAAATGAGCCAGACAACAGTGACACGGCCTCTTTAACTCAAATTCAACTCTACAGCTGTAAATCAAATCAAACTCGATAAATACACTGTAAATGATCTCTTATTGGACACAAAATCTGTAATATCCTCATTTAAGACTTGAAGAAGCCTTCCTGGAGACCACCCAACTGGCTGTTTGGTCCTATGTGGACAAGCTTGTACTCAGGCATGGGATATGCCTCATATCTTGTGTGGCGGGATGGTGGTGGATTTGATGGTGATGCAAAAACAGCTCTAGCTCTTTATGGAACAAACCTAGCATTGAACTGGCTCTGGACACCGATTTTCTTTGGCTCCCATAAGCTAGGATTGGTAAGAAAGAATTAATTTTCATGGAATTTTATAAACTTATCACCCAGGGTCAATTTTGGGATTAGTAAATATACTAACTGTCTTTGCTTTTGAAAAATGAAGCTGCAGCTTCCAATACTGACCCACTTTGACCGTATTATTCAAATCCATACTTGGGTTCAACACTGAGGCCGGGCTTAAAAAAAAGGAATCTCATTGAGCTTGAGGAATGAATAAATCATTTCTTTGCTTTATTCCCCTCTGCCTTTTAACCCAGTATAAATTTGGATGACATCATATTTTTCTTATTTTTCTCATTTCCATATTTATTTATTTATTTATTTATTTTTTAATGCAGGGAAATAGTCAGAACTAGATGTACTGCATAGACATGACCCACCACTCCATGGAAAGTCTGGTTATGTCTTCTTGTATCCCCCACCCTCCCCACCTTAAAAAGATGCTTTATCAGATTGGTATAGAATTGTCTCAAATACTAGCAGGGGAAAGTATGATATAAAAAACCCTGTGCATTTTTTTCTGACAATGCAAGCTTCATGCACACAATGTATTTCATTCTTATCTTAGACTGATAGGTGGTGTCTTGTGTAGCCTTACAACTCCTAGCCAAGGTGTGTCCTCATATATCAAGCATGCCTTATTTTGCCAGAAGTGTGACATGTAATTGAACGCTTATGGGATATGCACTTTGAGTTGGAAGATAAATACAGTGGAACCTCTATATAACGAAGTCCTTGGTATAACGATCGATTTTCTTGACCTCAGTAATAGTAAAATATATGATAAAACCTCGATATAATGAAACTTCATTACATAATTATAGTGAACACATTTTGCCAGTCCTGTGGCCCTTTGTTAAATCGATGTTCCACTGTTATGAATAACAGCCTGAACAAGAAAAATATTGTCAGGCCAAACAAGCCGAGTAAGAGTCCTCCTCTTTCTTTTCTCTTCCGCTGTTATTTTCCCTGGCTTATTTCTCAGTAAGGAGCTTGGCCCCAAGCTACAATCGAACCTCCCGTAAAGCGACCACCCAAAATGCAAAGACTTAGTGGTCGCTTATGGGAGGTGGTTGTTTACAAGAATCAAACCACAGGGGGCCTCTTCTAAGAAGGGGTCCAGGCACATCTACTTTATGGAAGATAACTTACGACATGTGTAGTTCCATATTAAAGTTCTTCATCTATGTAGCATAGTGCACACAGAAAACAGAGAGATCAGTGAATGCATTGCACTTAGTGGTCGCTTACAAGAGGTTAAAAAACAATGGAAAATCATTAAATGGCCGCGGTCCCTTACAGGAGGTGGTCGTTTACCAGGGGTTCCAGCTGTAAGGCTTTGACTGGAAAAATTTTGGTGTATGGGAGGTTGATGCTTACGAGAGGTGGTCACACATGGAGGTTCAACTGTATTACAGTTGACTCTCTCTTAATGGACACTCTATAAGATGGACACCTTGGTAAAACAGGCACACAGAGTTGGTCCCTACCTTTCTTTTAACCTTTATTTGACTCTCTATAAGACAGACATTACTCTTAGACGGACACTAATGCCATTCTCCAAGGTGTCTGTCTTAGATAGAACTTACTGTATAGCCAAACATGCTTCTGAAGCGCCTATTTTTGTCAGCAACTATTAATTTTTGTCTTTTTTCCTGTAGGCATTTGGTGAAATCTGCTTATTGTGGTTAAACATTGCGGGATGTGTCTACACATTCTATCCTATCAACAAATTTGCAGCAGGCTTAATGTTGCCTTACCTAGGCTGGGTTACTCTTGCTACAGCACTAAACTACACCATCTGGCAAATGAACAAGCCTGCTATTAAAGAAGAGTGATATTATACAACTTCCACCAACAAGTTATCATAAATCACTGGTGAAAGGAGCTGTAACGGATGGGTCAAGCCGCTTGTACTGTTTAAATAAATGACAAAAAACAACCAAGATCTCTTTAAGTTTATTTTATTCAGAGAAGCTTTACTTTTTTATTCCAGTTATTTGTAATGCATGTACTCTTGTTAAAACTTGTAAAGATTATATTGATTTCATTTATTTTTAATTCTTTAACTGACGATGAGAGTGATAAAAATCATTACTTGGGTTTTCAAACTTCTTATGTAAAAACATAAGGGTAACTACCTAGCTAGTATAAATTAAAAGAATAATAAAAAATAAAATAAAAATAGGGTTAAGTTTTAAGATCATGATCGGAGAAAAGGATATGTAAAATTTAGTAATTATTCATCATAGGTATGGCCATTATTAATAGGTAGTGTTTAAGGCACCTCTATAAACCCTAATGAAAATCAACTGGGTTGATGAATTATTAAACTGCAGAATTAACTTCCGATAGCTACGGTGATAAGTATTCATTCACTTTTGATACAGATCTCTACTGATTGTTTATTTCACAATTACCATGAAAATATTGGAGTCCGATCTGTATGGGCTTTACAATGCCCATACAGATGATCTCCCGCTTGTATTTATACAGTACATTAAATCTTTCCTAACGTTGTTTTCAAAGTATTCTATACTTAGCTTTGCCTAGTCCCCAGTCCTCATTATTGCGCGCGGCCGATGCGTTTCGGGTCAGGTGGTACGAGGGAGTTTTTGGGTCACTGAAACGCATTGACCGAGGCCTCGGAAGACGCCGTACAAAAACTAAGCAGCTTAGCCAAGAAAATGACAAATGTACGTCACGTGCACCATAGAGATAAAAGAGTTGAAGAGTAATATTTTTCCTCCTTTTTATAGGAAAATAGTAATTCCTTTATTTTTTATTAGAAAACTTCCTCATCGCCGAATAATCTAACCGCTCACTGCGGGACAGGATGTATGAGACATGTAAAAAAAAGGAAGGGTTCAGGTGGTTTCTTGGAAAAGCCTTTTATCCATATTGATTTTGTCGGTTACAAAGTTTAATGTAGACATTTTTAGAAGATGATATTGCAACCAGCATGTTAATTTTCTTGCCCCTTTTTTGCCGGAAAGTGACGTTTCAGTTATACTCTAAAACTCTGCGTTATCCAGCTTGAAGTTATTATGGTCAATTGCAAACTATTTCAAACTCAAAAAACTGCAAAATTAACTCTACTTTGCGATGAAAAGTATCGCCTTGAAATACCCACACGTACGGTTCCAGGTTTGTTAATAATTGTCAAGTGAAAATATGACAGCCTTCTCGAAGCAACGGGCATGGATTCTTGTGTGCTCTCGTTTTAACTCGCTCCTTTAATAAATGTATTCCCTGTTAGCTTCGCGAGGTAAATTTATGGTGTCATCCTCCACTTTCACTTTAAGGTAACCTGTCCCCCTGTGCTTTGGCTGAGACACACCTTCTTTAAAAAATGTATGGATCTGAAAAACATGAGAAAAAGGAATATTGACGATGCAGATCAGTCTCCGTCAGCGCGTTAACAAATCAAAGGTTTGAGCTTTACATACTGCAGCTCGTTCCATTTTTCGCATACACCCGTGTGCTTACGGTTGTCTGTGCGACAACAACTATCCCTTTGCAATAGTCTCAGTCAACCCTGTCGACTGGACCCGTTTAAACGATGGTAAATCAGGTAAATGTATGTGAAAGCTCAGTTCAAGACTGGTTTGATGAGCAAGACTAAGATCGCGGGCTGCACCACCAACTATTATACTTTAACGACTTGGTCGTAAGAGGATGGGTACAAGACCGTCTAATGAATATACGTTTGTAATAATCCTTGCATTGTTGTCAAGTTGGCGAGTTTGTTGATGCCTTAATTAAGGACCTTAACTGTACTCGAGTGGAGATAGACTGAGTACCTAGTCAAACAATTCATAGTGCTGCCTTAAAAACAAACAAAAAAAACGAAACTACGATAAATAACAACAACAAAAAACGCAAAGTTTGCAAATATAGAGTCATCGGGAAATCTTCTTTTGACCAAACTAAAAGTGTCATTATTTGTATGAGTTGTTTCGCGCCACCTTGAAAGCTTCTGAAAAGCTAAGCCTCTGCGTACCTTAGCAAGTTTAATCACGTTATCATAAGGACAAGTTTCTCCCTGGCTACCCTAGTCCCAAGGTGGTTTTTCTTGAAAAATTTCAAGAAACACCTCTGGAAACAGGGTACTACCTAATAAGAAACCTTGATTGTGTAAATAGGGTTCGAGGTGCTGAAAAGCTATTCATTCAACATCAATTCTAGCGGACTGATCTGAAACTTACCTTGTTTCTGTGGTGATAACCAAAGTAAATAGCTACAATGACCACAAGGACCACCATGAAGACCGCTGGAAAATTACTCGAATGTTTAAAAAGTGGATCAGTGATCCTACAAGATGGACAAAATAGCTGAAATTAATTAGGCCTTGTTTATATATGTCCCGGGCAGATGGGTCAGTCACCTACCCGAGCTACCCTGGGCGAGCCAACTTCTCCCAGTGGCGGATCCAGGGGGGGGGGGCCCTATTGTTACACCAAACTGAGACCCGAAAGGCGGAAAAAATTGTCTTTTAGACCCCCCCCCCCCCCCCCCCCCCTTTTTCCCGGGTCTGGGTGAGCGGGCCCCCCCCCCCTCCGACGGGCTGGGCCCCCCCCCTCCCCCTACCCTTCCTTCTAAAACTTGGCGACCCGCTTTTTTGTGAAAAAAAAAAGGGGCTTGGGGAGGGGGCTCCCCTTTTCAGATTTTGATGAGGCCCGCGGGGCGGGGCGCCCCCCCCCCCCGCGGCCCCCGGGGCCGCCCAACCTCCCCCGGTGGCGGGCGCGGGGGGGGGGGGCCCTATTGTAACCCCAAACTGAGCCCCAAAAGGGGGAAAAAATTTTTTTTTAGCCCCCCCCCCCCCCCCGCTCCCCTTATCTCAGGGTCTGGATGATCGGGCCCCTGCCTCATCTGAAGGTCTGGACCCGCCACTGTCTCCTACATTTCCTTACAAAACTTGGCGAACCGTTTGTCTGAGAAACAAAAAGTGGGCTTAGGTAGGGTCATCCCCTTTAGCAGGACCAGCTTTTCTCCATATTAACGCTTTGGCTCGCCCAGCAGGGTCAACTCGGTCAAGGCGGGAAAATCAAAGTATGCGCCAGTGGTCTTGGCTCGGGCAAAGGGGTCAAATTTTTTCTCATATAAACCGCGCGCTAAAGTTGACTCAGCTGGGAGGGTGTCCCTCCTTTCTGGGACAACTTTTCTCCATATAAACACGGCCTTATATCCAAGCAGGAAATGCAGCTACTGATATTTAATTACCACTTACGTATACCCTAATAGCAATGACCAAAGGTCACAGATCTAGAGTGAGGACGATAACGTTCGGTAACGTGCGATCAGGCTTTTTTTTTTACGCTTTTGCTCCATCGCTGTGCTTTGCGTAGTCAAAACACGCGTGATGAGATTACGAGTGAGAGAAGGTGCAAACTAAGGCGCGTGATCAAATTGCGTTCTGTGCATTCCATTCATCCTTACTGGAAGTCAATCTCGTACCCAGAGTCTTCTGGCTTTTTGGTCAGAAAGTCCGAAGACTCTGGGTACGAGATTGAGTGCAAGTCCAAACGAATGCTGGCTAAATACATGCGACGCATGCGTAATACCAACCTGGAGATTAGGATTGCGGGCTCCTCTTGCCGCCCACAATAATGAAATGAAAGAATGCACGAGGCATATCATTCCATCATTAAATCGCTTTTTACTTTAAAACTTAGTGAACTGTGCATGTTCTTTAAGTGCATTCAAGCGATCAACTTACCTTTCAAATCCACTAGTGCTGCTGTGAGAAGTCGTCGTACTCCCATCTATTTTCAAAAAATGTAAATTGAGTTTTCAAAGGGCCAAAACAACAAATAAACAAATTTTGTTCGGATCAATTCACCAGAATAACCAAGAAGTGGTATCAGGTTTGCAGTTTGTAAACGACGTAAACAACGCAAGGAGGAAGTAGTTGATATTGACATGCTATGAACTCAACGTACTGGCCTGCTACCAATGTATGGGTCTTGCTCAAATGGTAGAACATGCACTGCAGCGCTAACGCAAAGGCCATGGGTTTGAATCCGGTTGAAGTCCCGAAATTTTTTTCCGGTTTATTTGCAATTGCTTAAATTGCAATTACCACTGCGACGATCATATCGTCATTTAAAATTTAAAATAACCCTTGTTATCATCTCAAATTTGTTATTTTTTAGACTAGGCCTTTTAAAAACTTTTCGACTAGCCAACTCTAATAAACACTTTAAACAGGTTCTGGGCATACGTGCGGCCGTAATTTTATATCATTCAAAAATCACGTTAGGTAAATTAAACAAGACAACGTGACCAGAGTGACGACGTTGTGAGCAAAACTAAAAATTCACTTGACCAATGGCATAGGGGCCAATTGAGCCCCGAAAGTAGCATTCAATCCTACCGAACGATTGCACATTTTAATTGGAACCGAGATTCGTTGTCTCGGAAGAACCTGCCTTATGAACTCCATCATCACCGTCATCGCCATCATCATTTTCACCCTCGTCACTATCATCATCATCATCATCATCATCATCATCCTCATCATCATTATCATCATCATTATCAGCAGCAGCAGCTGCATAATCTAACTGCACTTCCGTCGGTTACCAACCTTTTACGCTTACCTTTCAAAGTTGAGGATTTTTGTGTTGAAGCCGATTCCATTGTTGAAGATTTCCTTGTACCTGTATCTCTATTAGTCGATGGAATTTTTGATGTGGGCTTAATTGTTGAGGTAGTGGTTAATGTTTCCGTGGTCGGTAATTCTGCTGATTTGGAAGTCGTCGATACCTTCAAAGTTGAGGATTTTTGTGTTGAAGCCGCTTCTATTGTTGAAGATTTGCTTGTAACTGTATCTCTATTAGTCGTTGGAATTTTTGATGTGGGCTTAATTGTTGAGGTAGTGGTTAATGTTTCCGTGGTCGGTAATTCTGCTGATTTGGAAGTCGTCGTTACCTTCAAAGTTGAGGGTTTTTGTGTTGAAGCCGCTTCCATTGTTGAAGATTTGCTTGTAACTGTATCTCTTTTAGTTGTTGGAATTTTTGCTGTGGGCTTAATTGTTGAGGTAGTGGTTAATATTTCCGCGGTCGGTAATTCTGCTGATTTGGAAGTCGTCGTTACCTTCAAAGTTGAGGATTTTTGTGTTGAAGCCGCTTCCATTGTTGAAGATTTGCTTGTAACTGTATCTCCATTAGTCGTTGGAATTTTTGCTGTGGGCTTAATTGTTGAGGTAGTGGTTAATGTTTCCGTGGTCGGTAATTCTGCTGATCTGGAAGTCGTCGTTACCTTCAAAGTTGAGGATTTTTGTGTTGAAGCCGCTTCCTTTGTTGAAGATTTGCTTGTAATTGGAGTAGTGGGTAATGTTTCCGAGGTCGATAATTCCGCTGTAGTCGATGATTGTCGTGTGATCGTTTCATTAGGTTGAGATGTTTCTTTCGGTGCCCGTTTCTCCTCTAGCGTCTTGTTTAAAGAACTAGCCATTAAAGGAAAGTAAAGAAATCTGCATTAAGTCAATGATCTCAGTTAGATTTCCACCCATGCCTGAGACCTACCATAAGCTGTTTCCGTATTGTGGCCAACCCCGAAACATACCGACGCGCTTATGCCTAACCCTAGGCCTCATTGCGCGTAGCCGATGCGTTTCGGGTCACGTGGTCAGAGCGAGAAAAGAAGGGACGAGGCAAGGTCCATACCACTGTGACAACCGCGATGTTATGTCAGAATACAAAGGAGCTTTCAGCTTCCCACATGACCTTGCGGTCTTGTCAAGTAAGCTCGAGGCCTTAAAATACGAAAATCTTAAAATAAAAATCAGGTTTTATGAGCCCGCGAGACTGAGCATCCCACCCAAACACTTGTTTTCACTAAAACCGCTGGACGTCAACCTGGTTGAGGTCATTGTTATCTAAGGTCCTCCTTAAAATACGTTAATTAACGTTGTTAAAACACGTTACCGACCAATTTTGGACCAAATGGAAATTCGTGGGTCAAGGTGTTTCGTTCACAGGGAACCATGCTAATGGTGAAATTTTTAGTCGGTGCGATTAAAAATTTGGCCGTCAAAATGTTTGTACGGCAAAGGCGTGGTTGTATAGATGAGCGAAAACGCCACTTTGGATTAGCTTGAGAAGCGCTGTCTGCGTATGGGCAGGTAACAAAAATTTGACCTGATTCGGCAGTTTCGTTTAAAAATAGCGAAGCTAAGATATAGATCGTTTTCACTGTCATGTAACAAAAAATTAAGTTGGAAACCGTTTAGTGGAAGAAGCCAAGAAGACGAAATGTTTTAAAAGACTAACTTATAAACAATTTGTCCAGGTCTCAGGTCTTTGGTAGTTTTTCTTCCTTTCTTTGTTTTTTTTTGTTTTACTTTAGTTAAATGTAAAAAGGCCATAAACACCACTCTAGTCACACAACTCACCTTAATGCAGCTTTGATGATCAGGATATCATTTTTCTGTTCGTCCGTTAGTTGACGGCCCTTGAATTCATCTAAGAACGCCCACACTTCATCTGACGATTGCCGTGTGGTAGGTTCATTAGGCTGAGAAGTTGGTTCCATATCCTGGTTTTCCGCTAGCGTCTTGTTTAAAGAACTAGCCATAAAAGTAAAGTAAAGAAATCTATATTAAGTCAATAATATAAGTTAGATTACCGCCAGTGCCAGAGACCTGTCATAAAGCTGTTTCCGGCTTGCGGCCAACCTCGAAACATAAACACACCGACGCGCTTATGCCTGGTTCCTAGGCCTTATTATTGCGCGCGACCGATGCGTTTTGGGTCACGTGGTCCCAGCGAGTCCAAAATGCATTGAGCAAGAAGGGACAAAGCAAGATTCATACCATTGTGACAACTGCGATGTTATGTCAGATTACAAAGGAGCTTTCAGCTTCCCACATGACCTTGAGGGCTTGTCAAGTAGGCTCTAGACCTTAAAATACGAAAATCCTTAAATAATACTCAGGTTTTATGATCCCGCGAGACTGAGCACCCACCCAAACCCTTGTTTTCACTAAACCGCTAGACGTCAAACTGGTGAGGTCATTGTTATCTAAGGTCCTCCTTAAAATACGTTAATTAACGTTGTTGAAACACGTTACCGACCAATTTTGGACCAAATGGAAATTAGTGGGTTAAGGTGTTTCGTTCACACGGAACCGTGCTAACGATAAAATTGTTAGTCGGTGCGATTGAAAATTTGGCCGTCAAAATGTTTGTACGGCAAAGGCCTGGTTGCATGGATGAGTGAAAACGCCATTTTGGATTAGCTTAAGAAGCGCTGTCTGCGTATGGGCAGGCAACAAAAATTTGACCTGATTCGACAGTTTCGTTTAAAAATAGCGAAGCTAAGATATAGGTCGTTTCCACTGTCATGCAACGAAAAATTAAGTTGGAAACCGTTTAGTGGAAGAAACCAAGAAGACAAAATGTTATAAAAGACTAATTTATAAACAATTTGTCCAAGTCTCGGGTCTTTGTGACCCACAGTTTCTGAGTTATTTGCCGAAACGTTTCACGCACCTCTGTAGAGCTTTTTATGGAGATGCCACTGATGGGTGCACCGTTTTGGTGCACCAATATGGCCGCCAGAAATAAAAAAAAAACATCTGGAGTTCACTTTTTCTATTAAAAGCTCTTTTTTTCACTCGAAAACTAGAATACGGGCGCATAGACATATCTTCTAACACTTAAAATGGTTATACTGCTGAAAATCAAGAGGAGAGACTTTTTTTCAACGAGACAGCATTCCTATTTTCAATTGGTGTCACGCACTGTGAAAACTTGGAAGTTCAAATTGCTGTATTTTCGAAATGAAACATGCTACGGGAATGGAAACTTGTACAAAGATTTATTTTTGTTTATCTTCAACCTAGTGTAAATAAGAATTCGTGAAACCTCGCTATTTTGACTTTACAATTTGATGACGTCACTGTGAAAACCATTTATTCCTTCGAGGGAGCGAACGTTTAAATGATGAAGATCGTACGCAACATCTCTAACAGCTTCAATCTGCCATTTAGCATAATTATGTTTTTAAGCTTTGAGACCGGAAATTTTTTTAGTTTTTTTCAGGCAGTGTCCATGGGTCAGACGGGTTGGTTCGTTCAAGCAGAAAACCGGTCGTTTCGATACAAGTCGATTCGATACAAACTCAAGGAGTGAAATTGCACAAAAATTTTGTTCACTTCAAGTGTAGTTTGCGTGTGAACAAGAAAAACATTTTGGGTGAATATCTTCGTTCTTTAATTAAGCCAAGTACGGGAAACTATTTACACCTTGAGTGAATAAATTTGTATCGAAAAGACTTCTATCGAAACGACCAGTATAGTATGAACGTAACAAATGTAGTAATGGCAGCTTCAACTTAGCTCTTAGTTCTTGGTGAATGGTGGTAGGAATCTGCGTAAAACTAAAAAAGTACATTTCTTCTTTGCTGTGCTTTCGGAAATGACAACATCTAAGGTTAGCTTACGCGACAAAGATATATTGATTTTTATTCTATATTACTACAATATTTGCAAAATGCTGCCTGGACAGTTAGTGCAGGTAGGCGAGTTTACTTAGTGACTTATGGTGTTGTAGTGTTTTTTTTCTTTTTTTTTTTTTTGTTTCACTTTAAATTAAATGTAAAAAGGCCATAAACACCACTCTAGTCACACAACTCACCTTAATGCAGCTTTGATGATCAGGATATCATTTTTCTGTTCGTTCGTTAGTTGATGGCCCTTCAAATCATGTAAAAACGCCCACATATTATCTGATGATTGCCGTTTGGTAGGTTCATTAGGCTGAGAAGTTGGTTTCATTTCCTTTTTTTCCGCTAGCGTCTTGTTTAAAGAACTAGCCATAAAAGTAAAGTAAAGAAATCTACGTTAAGTCAATAACATAAGTTAGATTACCGCCAGTGCCAGAGACCTGTTATAAAGCTGTTTCCGGCTAGCGGCCAACCTCGAAACATAAACATACCGACGCGCTTATGCCTGGTTCCTAGGCCTTATTATTGCGCGCGACCGATGCGTTTTGGGTCACGTGGTCCCAGCGAGTCCAAAATGCATTGTCCAAGAAGGAACGAGGCAAGATTAATACAATTGTGAACCTTGATGTTATGTCACAATACAAAGCAGCTTTCAGCTTCCCACATGACCTTGAGGGCTTGTCAAGTAGGCTCTAGACCTTAAAATACGAAAATCCTTAAATAATACTCAGGTTTTATGATCCCGCGAGACTGAGCACCCCACCCAAACCCTTGTTTTCACTAAACCGCTAGACGTCAAACTGGTTGAGGTCATTGTTATCTAAGGTCCTCCTTAAAATACGTTAATTAACGTTGCTCAAACACGTTACTGACCAATTTTGGACCAAGTGGAAATTAGTGGGTTATGGTGTTTCGATCACGCGGAACCATGCTAAGGGACTGGTCAAAAAGCATTGGGGGGGGGGGGGGGGGGGGTACACTTGTTATATAAAACACAGCCAGCTGGAATTATTGCTAAAATACTCACAAACCTGTTGTGCGAGAAAATACAAAGGGTGACAGGCCGCACATCTATACGGGCGTGGAACCCTTAATTAACCTTTTTCTTTTTTGGCTCTAACGAGCGTGTCCCTTAATGATTTTCCTTTTTTGTAAGGAAATGATTGGTGGTTCTTTAAAAATTTATTGAAGTTACGGTTGGTTTTGTATAAGATTCCATTTTTATTATTCAAGCTTCCTTTATAGTAGACACTGAGGGCTAGTATTGTGTCACAAATGGCAATATTTCTTTTTTCTCCTTGTATGTTTTGTTTTAGTAGTTTAGACTCGTTTTTGTGAATTTTATTTCTGATAGTAGGTCTTCTATCAAAGTTTGTGGGTAACCTCCGTCCATCAAGCGTTTCTTTTTTTTTTTAATTTGAATTATTTTCCTCAAAGGTTGTTTCTGAGGCATTTTTTCGTAGGATTCTCAAGGCTTCTCCTTTGACAAATCCTTTTTTAACACTTGGAGGGTGACACGAGGTGAAATGTGTGTGGAAGGTTTCCGTTTGTTTAAAATGTGTCTTTGCATCAAGGATAGATTTTTTGTTGAATCTTGTGCCTTTGTATACAACCGTGTCTAAAAACGCTGCATCTCAGTGTCAAATGTTTCGGCCGTGAATTTAATAATTGGGTGATGTAAGTTTGCTTGTTCAATGAAGGCTTCGATGTCTGGTTCACTCATGTCCCATAGGGAAAAGATATCGTGTATGTAGCATTTCCAAACTGTTGTTCTGAAGACAGTTTTGCTTAGAGTTGTTGTTTCAATATATGTCATGAAAATATTTGCAAAGGAATCAAAACTGCTGTCTTTGTGCCCATTGCAGTTCCACGGTTTTGTAATATAGTGCTTTCCATTGAAAGGGAAGACATTTTCTTTTAGGATTTATCTAAGCATTTCCGGCAAGTAATGTGTGGGAATGGGTTGTCTTTGTAGAAATTTTCAAATGCTTTGTGACAGACAATTTCAATATACCTTCGTTTTGCTGTATATTTGTGTCAAGACTCATAACGTCCATCGAAACGAGAAATGTTCGGTTTTTCACATTTGTCTTTTCAGTGAAAGGTATGATTTCTGTGATTTTGATATTGGTTGTAGCACTGTATAAACAAATTTTGTCACGCACAGAACAAGGTTAGAGGAAACCAAACATCCCTGTTTTAACTAGGGGGTGGGTCATGCAATTTCCAACCTTGCTTTAGGGGTGGGTCCGTCATTTTTGTGCCGAAGGGAGGGGGTGGGTCATGTGTTTTTTATCAACCACATTTCCAAATGCTCCGGCCCACCCCTATACTTTTTGACCAGCCCCTAACGGTAAGATTTTTAGTCGGTGCGATTGAAAATTTGGCCGTCAAAATGTTTGTATGGCAAAGGCCTGGTTGCATGGATGAGTGAAAACGCCATTTTGAATTAGCTTAAGAAGCGCTCTCTGCGCATGGGCAGGTAACAAAAATTTGACCTGATTCGGCGGTTTCGTTTAAAAATAGCGAAGCTAAGATATAGATCGTTTTCACTGTCATGCAACAAAAAAGTAAGTTGGAAACCGTTTAGTGGAAGAAACCAAGAAGACGAAATGCTATAAAAGACTAATTTATAAACAATTTGTCCAAGTCTCGGGTCTTTGTGACCCACAGTTTCTGAGCTATTTGCCGAAACGTTTCACGCACCTCTGTAGAGCTTTGTATGGAGACGCCACTGATTGGTGCACCGTTTTGGTGCACCAATATGGCCGCCAGAAATCAACAAAAACATCTGGAGTTCACTTTTTCTATTAAAAGCTCTTTTTTTCACTCGAGAACTAAAATACGAGCGCATAGACATATCTTCTAATACTTGAAATGGTTATACTGCTGAAAATCAAGAGGAGAGACTCTTTTTCAACGAGACAGCATTCCTATTTTCAATTGGTGTCACGCACTGTGAAAACTTGGAAGTTCAAATTGCTGTATTTTCGAAATGAAACATGCTACGGGAATGGAAACTTGTACAAAGATTTTTTTTTGTTTATCTTCAACCTAGTGTAAATAAGAATTCGTGAAACCGCTCTATTTTGACTTTACAATTTGATGACGTCACTGTGAAAACCATTTATTGTTTCAGGGGAGCGAACGTTTAAATGATGAAGATCGTCCGCAACATCTCTAACAGCTTCAATCTGCCATTTTGCATATGTTTTTAAGCTTTGAGACCGGTACTTTTTAAAGTTCTTTTCAGGCAGTGGCCATGGGTTAGACGGGTTGGTTCGTTCAAACCGAAAACCGGTCGTTTCAATAAAAAGTCGTTTCCATACAAGTCTATTCGATACAAACTCAAGCAGTGAAATTGCACAAAAATTTTGTTCACTTCAAGTGTAGTTTGCGTGTGAACAAGAAAAACATTTTGGGTGAATATCTTCGTTCTTTAATTAAGCCAAGTACGGGGAACTATTTACACCTCGAGTGAATAAATTTGTATCGAAAAGACTTGTATCGAAACGACCAGTATATAAGTATGAACGTAACAAATGTAGTAATGGCAGCTTCAACTTAGCTCTTAGTTCTTGGTGAATGGCGGTAGGAATCTGCGTAAAACTAAAAAAGTACATTTCTTTTTCACTGTGCTTTCGGAAATGACAACATCTAATGTTAGCTTAGCAACAAAGATAGATTGATTTTTATTCTATATTACTATATTATTTGCAAAATGCTGACTGGACAGTTAGTGCAGGTAAGCGAGTTTACTTAGTGGCTTATGGTGTTGTAGTTTTTCTTTCTTGGTTTTTTTTTTGTTTCACTTTAATTAAATGTAAAAAGGCCATAAATACCACTCTAGTCACACAACTCACCTTAATGCAGTTTTCATGATCAGGATATCATTTTTCTGTTCGTTCGTTAGTTGACGGCCCTTCAAATCATTTAAGAACGCCCTCACTTTATCTGAAAATTAAAAAAAGTCAAATAATGAAAGGAAAGTGGGGAAGCAGCGTGGCTAAGATCTGAGGAGGCCGGGCTTGAAATCCGGAGGCCTCAAGCTTAAAGGTCGGAACAGATCACTGGGCGACAATCGCTTCATGAGTATTGAAGAATTGAATTTTTTTTGGTGGAAATCTTTGTCTCCGCAAAAGATTTTTGTAGCCCGAACAAGCACACTTGAACACAAGGCTTGATTATGCCGCCGCGACTTGTTGCAGCGACCGTGTCACCTTGTGTGTTCCGACCTAAGACACCTTACAGCCCTGTCCTGATCATCGCTTGGAGTTCACATTCGAAGCGGGGGGGAAGGGGTACTCTCTTATATAAGACATATAGGTATGTGCCCCCCCCCCCCAAAGCATATGGTTTTTGGGCCGTTTTGGTCAGAAAACGGATCTAGAATTTTTCTATTTTGGTCTTCAATCGGGTATGGGTTTTGAGGAAACTACGGACGTGTATGAACGCATTTATCGTTTCAATTCCAAATGAATAGGAAAGAGAGATAACTATGCGAATTTGAAGTGGATTTTAAGGAATCTTTTGTTTTGGCGTTCTTATATCTAAGTAATGATGACTTAATTTCTTACAAGCCAGGTCTTTGTCTCCGCAACAGATTTTTGTAGCCCGAACGAGCACACTTGAACACAAGACGTGATTATGCCGCCGCGACTTGTTGTAGCGACCGTGTCACCTTGTGTGTTCCGACCTTAGACCCTTACGGCCCTGTCCTGATCATCGCCTTGGAATTCACATTCGGGGGGCGGGGGGGGGGGAGGGGGTACTCCCTTATAGACAAGACAATGTTTTATTTGGAGTCTTATACAGTCCTGTGTATATCGACTTTATCCAAATAATTTAAAATTATGACACAGATTGCACACTAGTGGAACTATAATCAATGTTAACCTAAAAAACTAATGATCCTCTTTTCTCATAGCATTCGAATACGTATTTTGCAATTAGCTTTTGCACTGGTTTGTTCTTGCTCGGAGGGTTAATTAACAACAGAAAAACATCATCTGGTGCCATTCTGTTTACTGATATTCTGTATTCTTTGTTTAAGTATTCAAATAAAGTACTTCTTTTTCTCGATACGCAGGGCACAGAGTTAAAAAGTGTATTTCATCTTCTACCTCTTTTTTACAGATAGGACAGGTCCTCCCTTCCGGTTTCTTATAAGGTCTTACATACCGACCTGTCTCTATCGCCAATTTGTGATTACTTAGACGGAGTTTAGTTAGAGTTATCCGGTGTTGGACGTTGGTGACCTGACGGAGATAATCTTCACATTTATAATTTTTTATTGTTTTAAATTTTCGGAAGGTTCTTAGTTTGTTCTTT